CCAGGCATAGGTCACCTCTGTCATCTCTTCAGATATGTTTCTGTTTTGTTAGTTGTCGCAAAGGAAATTAAGATTGGTTAAGTTAAAGCTGAGAGCACCTGTTTATCAATTGAGGTCTGTCTATGAAAGTCCATGTGCTCACCAGACCCCCTTCTTTGACTGTCTTCAAAGCTCAGACTGAGACTTTTCTATTGAAAGTCTTTTCATATTTGACTATTTTGCCTGCCCTGTGTTTTCAGCTTCTTTTTTGGGGCTATATGTCCCTCATTCTCCTTGCTAAGAAAGGCTGCTCTTACTGAAGCCCTGAGTCCTCTTTTCTGAGGTTTTACTTTTATACCTGTGCAGCGTCCCAGATTTAGGCAACCAGCATTCCAGACAATAGCAGAACAGATAAGGAACTTCAAGCTTTCACCAAGAAAGTATTGCACAGGAGCTCCCAGCAGAACACCGACATGACAAGGCACCCAGTTATCTTTCAACAACATTTAGAAAATAACAAGAAACAAGTCAGAGTCACACAATTATAACATTGGTAAGTCCAGCCTCATACCATCATCAGAGACATTAACCATTGCTCTCAAATTACTATCAAGGGTTCATTTCTGCTTATGCTCACTCGAGAAAGCAAGCAAGCCTACTGTTGCTCTGCCCTCTGATTCTGAACAATTTGCTCTAGCAGAACTTCCACCAGAGGCCTCGGCACCTTCTTCTTTGGTACAAACAACACAGTCAAGCAATGAAGGAAAAGGCAGATTTCTCTAGAAAGGTGAGAAAAGTCTTTTTTTTTCCACCCAGAAATAACTCAGACAGAGGATCACTACAATTTACCTCTAACACAACAAATTGGCTCCCGCATATGTGAATGTAATATTCAACTTTTCAAAGTACTATAGAAAGAATGTGTCACTTACTTGATTTATGCAGTACCTTTAAAGGGCTGAGAGTTGATCTATGCACCCGTGATCTATATCCAAATCAAAGGATATTTGGGCATGTAAATTTCCCTGAGTTAAGTAACTTGTACACATGATTTTTCTTTCATGCAATGAAACCACTACCTGTTCCAGAAGAGTTAGGCACTCATAAATAGCACTCTCATTGTGTAGATAATAACATACTGTTGACCTAACTTGAATATTCCAGCTCCATTCCCAGGTCCTATTCTCTTGCTTCTCCCAGAAGTGTAAGTGTGCTGATCAGTTTAATCACTAATACAATCAATCATACATGGAGCACAGTCCATCACGTGGGAATGGGTTTCAAATTATCTCACCTATCAGGGGTCATTTCCTAAGGCTAGAAAGCTGTTCAAGCACTCTCTTGGCAGATCAAAAGTCTATTTACCCTTCAGCAAGGAACTATTTCTCTCTGTTCTCTAATCTTTTCAATATTATATGATATAACTGATACTATGCAACAGTTTTTGTAGCTTTGGCTCAGTTTTCTTGTAGATACAATGAAATCCAGGAAATCTGTAATTTTTCCTGTTTTAGTCTCACCTTCATTTGAACGGAAGGTCAGATGCAGATCATATAAAATCAAACGTTTCCATAATGTTGTCTCATCTGTACATGCATTATCATCCTTTCTAAGCAGTACCAGTATGCTATCCTCAAGCAGGCTACCACACCTTGTTAGCAATGCACCTTTTAATCTGTCAGATTTTCCATTTGCTTTATCCTATTACAGGGTTTTTTTTTCCCCTGCCTTGAAGTACTCTCTACCAATATCCAAGCAATAATTAAAATAAAAGCCTAACAATTAGTAATACCACCTGGCATTTGTTTCAGACTCTTTTCCATTCAATTCAAGCACGTTGAGACACTGGGGAACATTATTAAATGCAACCTACAGCAGATAAGGAAAAAAAACTACTTCCATAGAATCAAAGATCTTTGTCACATGCCACACAGCCTGCCAAAGGAGGAATAAAAGACCAGTTCCAGTCTCCAAGATCAAACTGTCATTCGCCTACCCTATTACAGAAAGCTATAGGTATCAATTTGCTGAAGGAAGCAAACTGATTTGGAGATTTAGGTTCTTTCCTGACCTTTGGGGCTAACTTACTATGATCTCAACAAACAATTGCTGTATGCCTTGGTTTCTCAGCCTGTAAACTGCGGATATCTACATCCAAACTTATGTCCCACCACATGACTGAAACTGGCATTTTCTCTTGCATTTTTGTATAGTACATCATGTTAGTTTTGCATCTGTTTTGACTACAATTTGAAAGTTTAATTCACATAGGATCTAACAGGATGTGAGATACAGAGCTGAATTATCTTTCGCATATCGTTCAGTATTACAAACAGCAGCATGAGCCTGCTGAAAATTATTACATTTATACCATGTCAGTGAAAAATAAGAAGCCAGAGTTTGTCTTCTTGCTTGGAGGCAGTACATGACTCACTGCAATGATACCTCACATTAGAGGTCAAACTGAACACAAATTTGCTGATGCAGTCATAATTTGCAGAAGATTTAAAACAAATTTTGAAACTTCAATTTCATAAACATTTTAAATCACACAGGGGAAGAAGCAAACTTTTAAGTCATTAATAAATATCAGCTGATATCCCTGAAATCTGATAGAAATACATGTTGGAGAAATGGGTGTTGGAACTCGATGACCTTAAGGTCCTTTCCAACCCTAACTATTCGATGACTCTGTGATTCTATGTTCTCTACATCTGTACTTTAACAGAACTTTCAAAAACTCCTCTGATTAACTGAATTTTGTTTCATGGTCATAGGAGCTACCAGACATATCATTATATCATTTCCACCTTTACTTCCCATCATAGCAGTAAACCATAGATAAAATCATAGAAAATGATACTGGATAAAACCTCTTCACACAGGGAACAGGTAAAATATCAACTTTTTCTGCTGTTTCGAATCTATAATACATCTACTAAGTCACTTAGGTGGCATATCCTTCCCCTGCCTTTAAGTGGAACAGTTTGTTCCAAGTGTGAAAGGACTGAGCGTGCGGTTCCACTTGTTCTGTTCCCAGTTCTGTCATTGCCTGTACGAGTTATGTTGACTTTGTCCTCAGTTGTCTTTGCCCTTGTTTACAGATCCCTGTTAGAAATGTACAGCAAACCTATATAGATTACACCTGATTTCCAGACACAGTATGAATTATCATTCATGACTTGATAGTTTTTCTATAATTTTATAGAAGTATGAAAGAAATTAAGTGTATTAATCAAAAACAGAAAACTGAGATTTTAGTGTTCCACCCAACAATGGCATGGGAAAGCGTGAGTTTCGGGCTTCGGTCCTGCTCTGGAGGCAACTAAATCAGAGAAGATTTTTCAGACTACAGTGTTGTCTCTCAAACTCATGTTCTGCTTCTAATGTTTTTTAAATGCCTTCTGTGTGATATCAGAAGGCTCAGTGTCACACTGTAATTTGGTTTCTGTTAGCTCCCTTTCTTTTGGAATATTTTATACACACTATTCAGAGATAACTTGTTTAATTTCCTGCCTGTTGTCAAACTCTGTTTGGTACATTCATAAAAAGCACTGTCACTTTGGGGGAAAATTAAAGAAACAACACACACACACACACACACACACACACACACACACACACACACACACTAAACCCACAGACTTCCAACCCTGTGCTTTCGTTTGGCTAAGATCTTGGTATCTCTGCTTAGGATTCTGGACTGACCCCATGTCAACATCTAGTACTAAAACCAGAAACAGCCTTCTATTAACAGATTTGAAATGCTACGTCTTTGTTTTGTAGACATCTACTCCTTTGATTTAATAGTACTACAGTCAAGAAGACATTTTTATGTAGAATATTTTAGTCTATATTGCTATATTTTTTGGCTCATCATACTGTTTATGAAAATTTAGTCTGCTCTGTGATTTAGCACCCAGAGCAATACCTTCTATGCTTCTCATTTGTTGAAAGGTACTATGATTTTGCATTTTACAGTAGAATCACTCTCTCAAGCTCTCTTGTACTTCCCGAATTTTCTTAAGCATCATGGAAAGAATGAAAACTAAGCCCTGACACCCATCCTACTGAAAGATCTAGCCTAAGTTGCTTTTCAGTAGAACCACAGAGAGATCGTCTGCCAGTCAAGCAGCGGAAGTATATTATCCACAGTGTATTTGTATCCTCTTCCAAAAAGCAGCTTGCAAATATGGCCAAGTGCAATAAATTTCTTGTGTTCCAATGTATTTATGGAAGTGGGTAATCAGCACTCGATTTTAAACGAGCTCTTTTTAATCTCATGTCTTCCCCAATTTCATTCCAGCCTGTGCCAAAGAGGGAGCTACCCTGAACTGCATCATTTTGTAACGCTGCAGCTGCCAGCAACGAAGTGCTTTAGAAACTTGCTGCTGGGGGGCGCACGGGAGGAACAGTACACACACCCTTTTTGGTTTTTTAGCCTATATTTTAAAATACCACAGGGAATACATTAAAATTACAGAATAAAAAGAGGATGAGAAGGTACGCCTAGACTAGCTGCTGTTGCTCCTTCTCCCGTCACATTCTTTTCTCAGTGCCCTACAATCATAGAATAAGATTTTACCTTCCTGACATGGGTAGAACTGAGTTCACTGAAAGCAGATGGAGATCGATAGGAACCGGAGCCAGTTACCCATTTGAAACCTCCACATTTCATGTCTTGACCAACTTTGCAGCCCAAAAACCCTGCCCTCCACAGGTGCAGAGCCCTGGAGGCACAGTAAAGTGTAGCTCTGCAACACACAATAACCAGTGAATAGACAGAAGAGAGCTCTGTTTCAGTGACTCTTCCTAGGGATTTAGAAAAGGCATGTATAGAAAGGCAACTGCAAAGGCCTCTGGAGAGAAGGGGGAAAAACAAGTTGCAGCTTCTTCAGGAAATTATGAGCTATGATACAAAAATGCTCTGGAATAAGTGCTCTTTCCTTCTCTACCCACATACCCAAGGTCTGCATGAATCCAGTTCACTAACCTGTATGGCTGATGAGAGTGTTGGTTCGTTCAGGTTTCAGATGTGTTGCCACACACGGGAATATTGCCACAGTGTTCTGGGTATGTTGGCTCAGGCCCATCGTGCACAGGGAACGACTTTCTGAGGGAGATGGCTGGGCCTGTAAAGGAAAATGCGCATCAAATGTAGATTACTATGAAGTAAAGGGACTAGGAGCAATTGACCAAACCAAGAAATCCATATTAAATGGAAAAATTATGCAGCATGCAGCCAAAGGAAAAGACATAGGGACAATTCCTAAGAGCCATTATCCTATCTTGGGGCTGCAATTAAAGGGGAATGAGAAACACAGTGGTGGGAAACAGGACACAGAAATGCATTCAAAGTTTGGAAGAATACAAATCATGTAAGGATGTTGTTGCTTCACAAGGTTGCAGCTGAACCCTCAATAGGACAGCCACCATTTGTCACTGGTTCAGGGAGGAACATCTCACAGCACTGCCCTAGAAGTGGTGCAGCAGCACCCAGCCAGGACCACACAAAGGCAGGGAGGCTGGATGCAAATGCCATATTATCAGATGTCACTAGCACAAGCACATAACTACATGTCTGCCTATACAGCAAATGAGCTTTACATTTTCCTCCCAATTGTTCCAGTCTAAAGTAACCAGATTTCTATCCAGGATAGAGAAAATAAGTCTAGGACTTCACAGACTTCTGTGCATGACTGAGATAAAAATAAAAGAAACTGTGTTGAGCTAAGTGGCTTTTCCATTCTAACAATCCTCATGCCCTTGAAATTTAGTTTGAAATGGAGCAGCCTGCTATTTCCACATCAAAAATCAATACAATCAACAGGTTAAAACATTCTCAGTTACAACGAAAAAGTATCTGGGGAAATAATGCATGATACATTAACAAACATCTGAAAACTTTAAGGCCATCAGAAAATAGAAATCCTTCCATTTGCCCAAGGCAATGACGTGGCAGTATAGATGAGCAGTACCCAGAAACCTGAGAAGATAATGGTGTCTATTCCCAGCAATGCCAGCTATCTGCTCCATGACCTTGGGAAAGTCACTTAACTGCCCCCTGCCAGAATGAATTAAAAATGCTTCCTCACCTGAAGTGGCTCAAGATCTCTATGCAGAAATTGTATTTCTCTTACATCCAGTAATTATAACCTAGTTAAGAATCCTTTAAACATCAGATGTATACACACAATATAATAAAACACCACCACTTAGTACAGAGCTGCAGCAGAAAAGATCTTCCACAGACTCTGCCTCTGACTTGCACTAACTGATCCAAATGATATTCCAGAAAATATTGCTGATCTATGCAACAGCCTAACTTTTATTCATGTCAAACAAAAGGGAAGCAGCTTAGTACGCAACCAAATGAATCAGAATGTACCTTTTCTGCTAAGGTATAGATTATAAGCTTTAGGAATCCCATATACGTCTGTAAGAGGGTGAGTGGGTGTGTGCATGTGTGTGTAAATAAAATGGCCTAGTTTAAAATATTTTTAATACCCAATATTTGTCAAGTTGAACCAAACGGGTGTGAGCTCCCTCTGCTGACTCTAAAGCCAAAATAAAGGAACTGTCTTCAGCTCCTGTTGCAAATACTTCTGATATTGGCTCAAGGTCAAAGGAATGGACTGGTGTAAGAACATTAACGTAAGCATCGTTAGCAGCACAGGCCAAAAACTAGCAATAAGGACATTATGTGTTTTATTTTTATCCCACTGCGGTAGTTCTACTGTGGCTACCAATTCAGATTTCAATGGTATTATTCCTGATCTACTGACTAATGAAATAAAAACATTTCATACAGTCTTCGTACTTCTAAAAAACATACACCAAACAAGACATTAAAAACTTGGATCCTTACAAGAATGTGATGCTGTCTTTTACTTTAGACGTGGACATATGAAACAGTACATGCCCAACTACAGGCAAACAGCCACCACCTCTTTAATCAGCAGTAACATCCATCTGGATTAGCGTAGCACTGAAGCAAAAGTAAATATATAAATAAAGAACCAAAGCCATCATGTTTTAAAGACTGTACCAGGCTTCCATGGATGTGAAACCTATGTCATGCAGTGGCCCAACAAATATTATACCTTTAAAATAGAACCTATTGAATATTTTATTGTTATCAAGACTAAATGGTTCCACATTTGTTCATGCCATTCTCACCTGTAACTAGGAGGAGGCTGTCCATCTTCATCTGTTGGCTATATTTTATACAGTTCCTGGTTATTTTTTTTTAGCAAATGCTTTTATATCACAGAAAAGTTTGGATGTGAACAAGTTGGTTCATTTACTGCTGCATTTCCAGAGCCATTTCAAAAGCAATTGCTGACATCTACTGGCTCGAATTACAAAATACTCAATTTATAGTTTTTATTCTCGGATAAAATCTAATGGCTCTGGTTTCTTTCTCAGATGCTGGCAAAGAGGCAATTTTCTTGAAATAAGCAGAAATAAACCCATTCTCTCCCATTTAGCAGTTCATCTGCTCTGTGGGCTTTCTTGCAGACCTGAAAGTCTAGAATTCTATCTGCTAGGCACCAACAATTCTTTGAAAACAAAAGCACAGGGAGCCCTTGGTTCTCACATGAGGTCGCTCCACCCAGCACAGCACAAAACCTGCACATTTTGTGCTGAAGATTCTCAAACAATTGTGCAAATCTGATGTGGTGCAAGATTAGCACCCTCATCCTCAGCCTTCTCAGAAGAGACACAACTCCCACTCAGCACTGCATTTCTGAACCTCAAGACTGCTGCTGCTAAGAAGCTCCAGTGTCAAGTTGGGTACTCAAGCTGTCTATGCAGTGTGTGCAATGCCAAGAACTCAAGGATAGCGTGGAAGAGAAGAGTGGAGCTGAAGTGCTTCGATAAGTGATTTCAGACTGAGGGGCTATAAACAGACCTGCTCCCCCTGCCCCTTGCTTGGGATTATTCACCAAGTATCCACTCTTTCACAACTCCATACACAAGCTGGGTCAGCTGTTTCAGGTGAGCATGTCTTAGTACAGAAAATACCCCTCTTATCCCCACTCTGTATTTACCCATGCCCTACTCATTACTGTCTTGCTCTTGTGCACTTAACACTCTACCCTTACGCTTTCCAATGCAGAGAATGGTGGGCACCAGCTCTGCTCTAAGCACACTTACGGAGTTGCACGCATTTACAAGACAGGCATTTCCATCTTGCATTCCAGAGACCTAGTTTAAGAGCTCTTGGGCTTTGGCTTGAACAGGAGCAGAAGGTAGCTTAGTAGTGGTAGGATGGCATTACTACACAAGCAGCTTTGCAGATGTCAGCCCAGGAAACTGTAGGCACCTATAAGGCAAGGAAGCAACTCTGAATGCTTTGAAAATGTTTCTAAAATGAAGACTGTGTCAATCAGAGAGGCAGACAGGTACATGAGGGTGTTTGGAGACACAGGTCAAGAGCAGTCATTTTAGCGTGCAACAAATTTAGCTGTAAGAGACAACTTCCTGTACCCTAAGGTTTCGTCTCAAAATAAGCCTTCTCTTTTTACAAGGGCAGGAAACCCAATTTTTACTTCTTCTCCAGACATCCAGAATTGTACCATTGTCAGCTGCATCACTACTGGCAAATCAGTAACTTTCACTCTCATTGCCAATACCTAGCCAAAGCATCTGACAAGCAGGAGGGCAATTAAAATATCACTCTGCTCCAAGAAACATTATCCAAAGCACACAGGCTTCAGTGATAACATTTAACTGGGCTAACATCAAAACACTAGCAGCAGACCTAGCTAACAAAAAGTATCAAGCAGCTAAATTGGACTTCTCTTTCTGTGGTTCTTTTTCCCCTTCACAAATCAAAACACACATCTACTTTGCTAATACAATTATGCTTTCAGATTTACAAGAGCCTTACTCCTGTGTAGGCTCTCAATAATATATTCCAAATAGAAAAAGAGTTTTCACTGCTGTAGTTTTCAACAATTCAAACAAGCTCCTGGGATAGGACATTAATATAGGAAAACAGAAAAGCAACTGACAACAGTAGAAATGCAGCAGGGTTTGGGATGACTGGAAAACACAAAATAACCAAAACCCCACAAAGAGAAAGGTATGAAAACAGGTGGAGAGGAAGAAGAAAGCTTTCGTAGACCAGAGGATGATGACAGCTAGCAGAAGTACACAGGGCAGTGTCTTCCCAAATCAGCAGGAATGTAAAAGGGTGTGACCAGCAGTCTCAATTCACTTTTTCAGAAGAAATATTTAAAGAGAAGACCTATAGGACTGAGGTAGTTGGTACAAAAGGTACCACAAATAAGAGAAGCTGGCACAAGAATCCATCCTTTTTTCCTTATATCCACAAAGAGACAAAGTTGAAGAAATGGGAGGGTCAGCATTGACCTTCTACAGACCTAGACTGTATTCAAGAGCAGAGTGTAAAAGTGCCTCTAAATATTTTGTTGCGGAATTGAAGTAGGAAGTTGGCCAGGTAAAGAGGACTGAAAATTGATGGAAAATGAGTGTAATTTTGGGTCAAGGAGAACTGAAGGAAAAAGCACTAAGAGAAAAGATAGGCAGATAGACAATGAATGAACTTTAATGACCACACAGAGACCCATTTCAGGCAGTACTTTATAACCTTCCTATTGCCCATCACGTCTCAGCCAGCTACTAGAGGATGTGCTTGACATGCTGCAGTGAAGAAAAAGGTTTGAACACTAATTAATACACGCTGAGGTATGCCCTGCCCTGAGGACATTGCAGTTTAAATTGGACAAATCTAGAACATGGAAGCAGATAAACAGAGGACACACAGAGGTTGAGTGGTATAAACTAAGAGAGTCACATACTTTTTGTGGGAGTTTGTTTTTTAATATTGGCATCTGTGGTAGAGCAAGAATAAAGAGCTAGACAACACTGAACAAATAGAAACAAAGCAACATATTAGATACCCAACTTCACATTACTATTCAAGGTCCTTTTGCCCAGAAAAGTGAGTTAGCAGCAGAAATGGGAGCTGTACGGGAGGAGTCATTTTAGATGGTAAAATTCCATTTTATTTCCTGAAAGTGATTCAATAGCATAGTGTTTGTTCACCTATGGATTCAGCTAATGCAGAGACATACAGCTGTGTTAAATGAGATGTTCCATC